CTGTGCTCCGGCTTTCAGCAGGGCAAGTGTACTCGCGATCAGTGCAAGTTCGAACATGTGTGTGGGGTGATTTTGCCAAACAATCGCATGTGTCTCGGGGATCACAGTCCGGCTGAGCACAAGCAAACGCCCCACTGACAGGCGGGGTGCATGTCTCAGCCCCTGGTGTCGCCCCAATCGGGCGTTGTTCTTGCGGACGCAGACATGTCGGTCTTACATGCGGCTGAGGCATGTGAACCCATGCACACTGGCCATACTGTTTGCTTTGAGCCACAATCTGATGCTGAGGAGTCCAATCTTGCTTTCTCTGGTTTTCCACAATGTGCTTCGTCAGGTAGTGCCCTGGCCACGTTTTCTGAAGTCCCACCGGGGCCCGCAGCAGTGGATGCTCCGAGCCCTGTGTTGAATGCCACATGTGCCGCAGTGGCTGACCCGTCGTCGGCCATTTCAGCTGCATGTGACACAATCTTGAACATTTTGCAATCTGTGGAGTGGCCGCCGTGCCATACAGCAAGGGCTGTCTTGCAACCGCGTGACAACGATGGCACCGGTTACTGGAATTTTGGGGTTAGGCCCTCAGAACCCACAGTCCTTACTTCCATCACCCAAGACAAACCCGACGTAGTTCGCCGTTTGAATGCCTTGTTTAAGGTTCTTTGGCCGGCTCAATTTTGGAATGCGATTTGTATAAATCTCAACCGCGTGGCTAGCCTTCACCAGGATTTAGCAAACAGTGCGGGCTCCATGAATTTGAATGTCTCCGTTGGGGACTTTCAGGGGGGTGCATTGTGGCTGGAGTCAGCAACAGGCACTTTGTGGCGCCAGCCACCAGGCAGCCAGCACTGGATCAAGGGCGAAGAAGTTCAGACTTTTCGGAATCCCATTACTTTTCCAGCTTGTGCCTGGCACGAAACGATGCCGTTTGTGGGTAATAGATGGTCCATCACTTGTTACACGTTGCCCCATGTGCAGGAGGGAACGTTAGCCAAACTTGGCTTTCCGGAGGTATCTCCGGCGCAATTTCCTGATGTGTCGCCGACACAGGTGTCAGCTGCCACATCAGCGGTTAATTCCACCGCGCCAATTTCAGCCCTGCCACCGGTGGTGGCCACACAGCAGCGCCCTCTCTTCTTTTTGGATCTTTTCGCTGGGGCAAGTGCACCACTTTGTCAGGAGGCCGCACGTCGGGGTTGGGCGTGTATTCCCATAGATATTCTACATAACAAGGCATCAGACTTACGCGATGATCGCATTTTCGATGGTCTCTTGAAGCTTTCCCACTCAGGTGCAGTAGCGTTTGCAAATGCATCCCCCCCTTGCTGCGAATACAGCATTGTAAAGCAGTTCGATGGCGGGCCGCCACCCTGCCGATCATGGGAGTGCTTGGGAGGCTTTCCATCCAATAATGCCGAAGCCCAGGAGCGTGTTCAGTCCAGCCACCTTCTGTTGTCTCGGGCAGTCATGCTTCTGCACGCTGTGTTTCAGAGCGGTAATCACGTAAGCTTAGAACAACCTCGTAATTCTATGGCTTGGGCCGAGCCCGTGACACAGGCCTTCTTGCTGGAAATTGCGGCGGATGTGATTCAGGTTGCAGCTTGCAGCTATGGTTCGTGCTATGCAAAGCACTGGGCTTTCGCTACAAGTTGGCGACCTTTACAGCAGTTGCAAAGCACTTGCCAGCACGCTGCGGGTCATCATGATGTCTTTCACGGAAAACGTGACGCCACAGGCCAGTTCGTGTCTCGGCATACAGCGATGTTCCCTCCTATGCTTTGCAGTGCGTTCATGGAGGCTATCAGCCCGTTGTTTCCAGAGAGTACGCAAGGTACCAGCTTCACATCCTTGAATCAGGCACTCTCTGCCCTGCCGATTCGTCCCTTGAGCGATTTCCCGACTGGCCAACAGGATGGCGGCGGCATCTACAGCCAGCCCGACTGGACGTCCCCTCCGGCGGGACAAAAGGACACCTTCCGTCAGTTGCGTCAGGATATGTGGGGATTTTTCAAAGAGCATAAACTTTTTGATCGCCTTCGCAAACATGTAAGCGAGTCATCGCATGAGCCGCTCATTCAGCAGCATGAGCTCCCGGCATTGCGAGCAATTTGGGAAGCTTGGTTTAGAGCTCAGGGCTTCACGGATTCAGTTTCATGGGCGGTTGCGCCCGACCAGCCTTACTGTCTTCAGGCACTTGAGCTTCTGAGCAAGGCTCTTGACGACCGTGATGTGGAGCTTTGGAAGGACTTGCAGGCTGGGGTGCCAACAGGTGTTGATGGTGACATTTCTATGAGCCATTGTTTCTTGCCGACCCCAGCGAATTTCGATCCAGACGATTTTGATGTGCAAGTGTGTTCAGGCAACTGGCCCGGGGCCAATGAGGAGCCAGAATTGCTGGCAGAACTTGTGCAAAAAGAGGTGGACAAGGGCTACGTGCACGTCTTCGATTCTCTCGAAGAGGCCCAAGCCAAATGGTCCCGGGTCGCTGTAGGCAAAGTAAATGTAGTGAAAAGTGGTTCTAGAGATCCTCGGTTGATTGTCGACCCATCGGTTAGTGGGGTTAACCCTAGCTGCCACCTGCCCGAGCGCTTTCTTCTCCCCGGTCTCGGGGACATCCGGGCAGTGTATCCCCTCAGGGGCGTGTCGGGCTGTATAGCCGCTTGCACTTTAGACATACAGGCCGCCCACAAAACAGTTCGGATCCGGGCGAGTGAACAAGGATTGCTTGGATTTTCCGTGAACGGCAAATATTATTTTTATAAAGTGGCGCCATTTGGCGGATCTTTCTCAGCGTTGTGGTGGCAACGCGTAGCGGGCTTTTATGTTCGCACCGGCCATCGCCTGATCTTCATCAGCCATGTCCTACTTATGTACGTGGACGACGCTTTACTCCTTCAGCACAGTTCGGCTATCGACTTTTCTGCGCTCTTGATGGTGGCACTGTCACAATCGTTTGGATACCCGATCAGTTGGCGTAAGCTCCAGCTGGGGCCCAAGCTGGAATACATTGGTTGGCGGATTAATTTCCGTGCAGGGACGTTTTGTCTGCCTGATTCTAAGGTGGCCAAACTTTTGCAAAGCCTGATGCAAGTGCTCCGGTCCGATCCTTGCACAAAGCGTGATTTGCAGGCTCTTATCGGTCTCCTTCACTGGGTGTTGCAGATGTCGCCCGAGTTGCTTCCTTGGCTGTGCTGCTTGTATCACGACATGTCTCGTCCCTTGGGCACAAATTTTTCCTTGCACGCAGGTGCCTGGCAACAGTTAGCAGATACCTTGACGGATGATTTGCATTTCCGCAAATCGCCACCAGGGTCGACCATCCCCCCGGGCAGCAAGTTGTTGAGTGCACGACATGTGGAGATCAAGTGCAAAGCGGATTTGCGTCTGGTTAGGGCAACAGGCAAGCGGGTCTGGATTCGTGTGGCGGATGCATCATCCAGCAAGCGTCGGATCAGCACGGTGAGCAGACAGTTCATCATGTTCTGGGTTCACTTTTGCATGCGGCCTCAGATGCCCCGTTGCTTGTCTTTGCCACCTTTGGACTTCCAGTATTCCTTAGCTGCTGACGCTTGTGCTAAAGGCAACGACATTGGGATTGGCGGATGGGTTGAATTGCCGAATCAGCCCATCGTCTGGTTTTCCGAGTGGTTTACGGTCCAAGATTTCCGTTCACTGGGGTTGCCCATGAAAGATGATGCTAATTTGGACATTACGGCGTATGAGACGCTGGCGCAACTGGCTCTCTTGGTCGCTTTCATTTCCATCACTCCTACTGGGCGCCTTCGGGTGTGCATCCCATCTTGGTCGGATAACTCGGGGACCGAGTCCTTGACGAACAAGCTCTTCACAGTACATACACCGTTGTGCTTCTTTGCTCAGAAACTGGCTACGCGGAGTTGGCAGTCTGGAATCTCTCTCGATTGTACACACATCGCGGGATGTCACAATGATAGTGCTGATTTCTTGAGCAGATGGAAAGGCGACTTGCAGGAACTTCCTTCCCGGTTCACCTTGGATCATCGGGTTCGATGCCCACTCACAGTCTTGTGGGAGGGCGAGCGAGATGTTCGGGTTTTCCCGCCACATGCTAACTTGTTATGGCAGCCGCCTGTATCTTCCTTCAATGAAAACAGCGTGTAAGCACTCGGCATCGGGCAGGTTCAACATCTCACGGTGCGCGGTCGGCCTGGCCTTCCCCCGTGGGCTCTTGGGGCTCCTGCAACACCGGTGTTGAGGTGCATCATCGTCGGGGTTCGACACTCACGGCGCGCGGTCGGCTTGCCTTCCCCCGTGAGCACATGCGTTCCCCTGAGGGCGGTGTGGAGAGATGCAGAGCATGCATCAGTGAACGCGACAGGCATGAGTTGCAGGCAACTAGGTGCACTGACTGCATACGCAAGGCGTTATTGCTCGTTGTGTACTTTATGCTACTGGTGTACCTTGTGTTTTCTTCAACCGTATGCGGTGACGCTTCTTTGGGCGGAACGCCCACTCAGGTTCAGTCGGCCTCACGTTTCGGTAGTGGGAGTGCAGTGCTTGCGAGTCCGACCTCTCCTTTGTGGCAGTTTACGGTTCTGGTGTTCGTACACATTCTTGCATCTGCATTTGACATTATGCTGCTGCACGAAGTGTCTTACCGCCAAAAAGGAGAGGATCGAACTGCAGTGTGATACACGTGCTGTGAATATGTTTATATGTGAATTATAGAAATTTGTGAGAGTATTCTTTGCGGCTAGATGGAAATGTAGAACTGGACCATTCTTGAAAAATGACGTGCTTCACAATTTTGCATTTTCTTCGTGTGCCCTTTTCTTGATTTCACTGAGCGACATGCATTTCCTTCCGTCTGCAGTGCGCGAGTCACTCTCTTGATGATTGCAGTGCGAATGCTCAAACTGAGCAAAAATTTTGTCGGGCTCTCTAAAGTCCCCGTAAAGTGCTGTCTAAGAGGTTCCGGGTGCTAAATCCAAGGCCTCGTAGCTCCTCGCGGCCTGGGGGGGCGTTGCATGGTGTCAAGGACGGAGCTTGAAGAGTTCAGTCGGTACATTCAGTGCTCGCTGCTCAGCTTGGTGCGTGGGGCTTCGACCGAAGCCCGCAAGGACGTCGATAGTGCTAGAGCTGACTTCCTTGACGCCTTGCAATCCTTCAGGGACGAGACTCTTGAAGCATTGACAGCTCTGCACGAGCGCGCCGACCTCTTGCTTGAGAATCAGTTTAGGCTGCAGACCCAGTTCCTGATTTTGCAACAGCGCATCACTCGGCTTGAAGGAACGCCGGAGTGCACTGACGGTCCCGATTTTCTTCATACCTTGGACTAGGACTAGGATGAAATCACCGACAGGTGCCGTCGCACCTGCCCGTGCGAAGGCTGCAAATGATCAAGGGGGGGTTGGTGAGTTTACTTTCCCGCCTTCGCCGCCTCTAGGGGTCAACGGCCTTGCAGGCGATGTGCCCTTGCCTCAGGTTTTCCCAGGCTGTGGCGAATCATCTGCAGGCAGCTTCAGTCGTGTCAGCTTTGGCAGTGAGTGTGTTGAGAACGACCTGCACCTCCCTCCGCTTGAGTTACCAGAAGACTGGGAAGACGATGCACCCGAAACTGCCACAGCTCGGACGCCTATGGACTTGGAGTCTGTGGAGCGGTCAAACAGGGAAGTGGCAAGTCTGATGCGAGACATTTTCGGAAGCGACGATTCTCATGTCGAGAATGTGGAATCGAGGACAGCTTCGGCCTCGGCTGCGCCCTGTGAGCAGGCGGCTTCTTCGATCCCCGATCTTGACCAGGCTATGTCGATTGCACATGCAGATGCCTCTGCAGATATTAGCTTAGCAGCTTCAGGAGAGTTTGTGTCGACCGCTGGTGTCGTTGATGATGCACTGGGTTCCTTTGTAGGAGGGCTCGTCAAGCAAGATGTTGCTAGATTCGGCAGACTCGACGATGGTCTTAAGCTTCCGTGGGAGAGTGAGTTCTCCAAGCTGCTTTTCGACCCAGATTGCGTGTGGGACCCGTTGCAAGGCCGAAAGCAGGATTCGATCTTTCCGCCCATCACGCATAATGCCCAGGCTGCCCATCGACCTTCAGCAGGACCCAAGGAGGCTCCTTCAGGTTCGATTTTCGCTTGGGCCATTGCGTTGGGTGCTGCAGCTCGCGATCCCGCCGCAGAGCGAGAGCGAAAGAGGGAGCAAGGGATCGGAATGTGGAGTAGGCTTGTGCTGAGGTATTCCGAGTGCTGCTCCCTTTATGAGTGTGTCTCTCAAGGATTGAGTGGCAGAGAAGCGGGCTATGAGGATGTTTTGGTGGCTGTTTCGGCCGCTGTGGGAGTGAAGTCACCGCACACCATTCACAAGCGTGCCGCATCCTTTTGGACCTCTGTTCGGTGGTTGGATGTCCACGAGCCCTTGGCCCCAAGCAGGCTGCATGAGGTGCAGGTGTGGAATTTTGTGCAGTTCCTCAAGGAAACTTCTGCGCCGGCCTCCAAGGCCGCTTCGGTCCTGAGTGCTTTCAGGTTCGCTCACTTCGTGCTGGGGTTCCGGTTGTCGGGAATCGTTGATTCCAGGAGGATTGCTGGAGCCACAGAACAACAGCTTGTCAATGTTCGCAAGCTTCGCCAGGCGAAAGATCTTACAGTCTCGCAGGTTCTTGAGCTGCACGCGAGGTTAGAGTCGGGAGCTTTGCATTGCTTTGACCGCGCACTCCTTGCGTCTCATGCTGATTAGGCTGTACGCTAGAGCTCGCCCGAGCGATTTCCTGTTCGTTGAATCGGTCGAGGTTGACTGCCCGCTTGGAGCAGACTACCCACTGCATGCTAGTGTTCGAAGTCTCCCAGCACAAGGGAGCCAGGAAGGTGCAGCTTAAGACCAAGCTCTTGCCGATCTTGGTTCCCATGATAGGGGTCCATGGAAAGTGCTGGATTGATGAAGCCTTGACCGCTTTTCGGAACGCGGGGAGAAGCCTGACTTCGGTTCGGGGTCCGCTGACCTTAGCACCTGCCGACGAGTCAGGGGTCGTCTCCTCGAGGAGGTCCATCGCTTCAGCTGAAGTGGGCAAGATGTTGAGAGCCTTCTTGGGTTTGCCTGAGGAGGTCACCGATCCTTCGGCCCCCAGGGTCACTGCATATTCGCTGCGAGGCACTTGCTTGGGCTGGGGAGGTAAGTTCGGGTTCGACGAGGACCTGAAAAGCATCTTGGGAAGGCATGCTTCCTCAGTCAAGACAACGCAAGCCATCTACAGCAGAGAGCTGTCGGCGGCGCCGGTGAGGCGGCTTCAGGACATGATTAGGGAGGTTGCATCGGGGAACTTCTTCCCTGATAACAGTCGCTCGAGTTACTTCCCGAGGCGAGCCGCTAGTGATGGGGGGTTCCCTCCCAAAGGAGCTGAGAAGCCCAATCCTGTCAAAGTTGAGGTGGTCAGCAGCGACGATTCTGAGGCAGGGAACTCTGCTTCTTCAGACAAGGAGTGCAGCGACTCTTCACAGTCATCGCAGTCCTCCTCCTCGTCATCAGCGAGCGACGCGGTTCAGCCTGCTGTTCGCAGGTGGAAGCGAGCTAAAGTCGAGGTGCCCGACCAGGTGTGGTATGTGAACACTTCGAGTGGGGTCTTGCATCTGCTTGCTAGCCCCGATGATGTTCCGATGCTGCTCGCATGTGGGCGACCCGTAAGTGGGAACTATCGTGAAGCGACGAGGGCCGAAGTTAGTCGAGGCAAAGAGTGTCGGACCTGCCGGCGCAATGTATGATGGCCCGCGCAAAGCGCGCTTTTGGGCGAAACGATGGATGTATCATGTGCGGGAGAGAAAGCAGGGAGCGAGGTGCTCGTAGCGAAGTGCTTTGTGAGTGTGTCGAGGTTTTCGCATGACATGTGTGATTCTTAGCTACATGCTTGATTGCGCTCGAGTGTGTTCGTCTTGAGACTGTGGGCTCAACATGACGTCCCTTGTAGAGAGTACGCACCACTTCAAGTCGCGATGTACCGAGGTGGGCCTCAGTCGCGAAAGCCTCAGGGCGCTCGCGGACCATGGGATCGATACTTTGAGCAAGCTGGCTTACTCTTGCGGTCAACCGGGTACGCCTTTGCCTCAATCTGAGTTTGATGACTTCATGTCCACGGTAATGCCGGCGGCCCTCTTGGGTGAGAAAGGAAGCGTCAAGCGACTTCTTTTCGAGAGTCAGGCACTCTTGCTTAATGACCTCAGGGAACAGGTGACCCAGCCCGATAAGTGGTCTACACGTGATGTCCCGACAGTTGAGCGTCAGAAGAGGATGGAAGCAGTGCGTGCCAGCATACCGGGTGTTGTGCTTGAGGGGTCATTGGAGCCCTCCCACGGGCTCTTGAATGCAGCTTGTCGAATGGAGAGAGAGGGGCAGCTTCGCTACATAGCTCCCGAGCAGTGTGGCACTCGCATGTATGAGATTCAAAATGTCAAGGCCCAGAGTAAAGTCCTGTCTTTGGAAGAGGGCAAGCTGGCGATTTCTGAGGAGAAAGGGTTGCCCGAAGTTGCCTGCGGGTCAGCTTTGTTATTGCAGGAGGCTCTGAAGCGCCGAGGTGTGGCTCTCCAGTTCGCCGGTGTCGCCAGCTACGTGGCGCATGAACGTTATGTGCTCAAACTCTTTGGGCATATGGGGCGAGAGCCCCCGCCAGGCTATGCCAGGACCAGTGTGCACCAGCTCCTTACGGCGGACAGGCAGGTTTGGACGCGAATGATCGAAAACGAAGTCAGCCCGAAAAGGAGTGCAGATGGAAGGTACCCTGTTGATCGGGCTTTGCTCCCCACGCTTGAGACCTTCGACGTCACTGTAGCTCTCCTTCCGCGGAAGTCGGAGGAAAGCAAGAAGAGGGTCGCCACACCACATAAGCCCGGGGTTGAGAGGGATCCCAAAATCGCGAAGCCCCCCAAGGGCAAAGGGAAGGGCAAGAAGGGCACTTGGCAGCCCAGTGTGCCAGAAGCCATCCGTAAGCTGGGTGGGGTTGCCGAGACTCCCGATAAGAAGCGCATTTGTTTCTCCAGGAACCTGCCATGCGGCTGCACTCAGGATCCTTGCCCCAAAGGCTTGCGTGTCTGTGCATTGTGCTTTGCACCTGACCATGGTCTTCAGGAGTGTCCGAAGAGAAAGAAGTGACCGTCGGAAAGCGTTCCGGAAGGTTTTGTGCCGACCGATGACAGTGGGGCCGCTGTTACGTCAGTCACATCGACCTCAGCTGGAGGTCAGGACTCACCGATGCCAGATTCCATTCAGCTTGATACGCCGGGGACAATATCCGTTGAGCCGGTGCACCCAGCTGAGCAATTTTGTTCACAGCTTCGGGAAGGAAAGCTTGCCGATGTTTTGCAATTGATCACCCTGCTTGAGAGTGAGACCCCAGCGAGGGGTCAAGAGGCACCAAACACTTTCTCCTGGACTTCAGGAGCATATGCCAAAGGACCGCTCAAAGGCGTCCGGAAACACACCTCAGTTTTCCCAGCTTGTACGCGCTTGTTGTGTAAGCTTGTGCTGCAAACTTTTCCTGATGCCGACTTCACTGCTGTTGTGATTTATAAGAACCTTCAGACTGCCTTGCATGTCGATGTAAACAACGAGTTGGGGTCGCAAAACTACTTGATTCCGATCACCGCATTCCAAGGTGGGGAGGTCTGGCAAAAAGGGCCTGGCAACGACATCGTGCAGGACGAGCTAGGGTTTAGCCTTTCTGGGTCCTTAGTTCGGGTTGCCGATGGGCCGTGTACCCTAAACCCCCGAGAAACCCACTGCACCATGCCTTGGACTGGCGACCGGGTGCTGCTTGTCGCCTTCAAGCCTAATCACGCTGCAAGCTTGTCTTCAGAGTACCGCCGACGCCTGCTGCAAGCAGGGTTTCCAGAAAGTGCATTCGATTCAGCGTCGTGCTCTCAGGGCCGCGACTCTACCTGCCCGCGGGGTGTGGTCCCGGCCCACTTGGATGAACTGCCTTCTAAGCCCTGCGATAATTCTGCTTGCATCACCGGTGCCGTCCCTGATCCTGTAACCTGGTGCGATCCCTTAGTCATTGAATTGTTTTCGGGGTCCGGTCGGGTGACTGCCTGTCTTAAACAGTTGGGACTGTCAGCCGTCGGGGTAGATGCTGACAAGCGCAGGTCCATCTCAACCTGCCTACAGGCCGATTTGGCCACGCCCAAAGGACAGGAGCTGTGCATGGAGTGGCTATCTTCGCCTAGATTAGCCGGCCTCTTTGTGACTCCGCCTGCTCACTTGACCGATGCTACGGGTCAGTTCTTGGCAGCAGCCTTGCTACATGTCCTCGGCCGAGGGGCTGTCTGCGTTTTGGCCCAGGCGGGCGATGGGACGTTTTGGAAATCTGACTGCTGGACCAAGGTCTCCTCCAATTTTACTTTTGTGTCGTGCCACGAATGCGCATATGAGGGCAACCACTTGAGTACGACCATTTTCGCTGTCACCGATCGTTCATTTTCGAAGCTTGCTAGGTTTTGCCCGGGCAGCCCGGGCAGCCCGTGCAGACAGGAGCGTATGTCCGAATGCCCATTGCATGGCGCCTACCCCGTGCGTCTGGCCATGCAGCTGGCTTGCTGTTTTGCTCAGCACTTCGTGCAAAAGGGCTGGCGATCGCCCCCACAATCTTTTGATGCTTTCGATCCTCGCTTGGAAGTTCCTATGTCCCGTGCTTTGGCTGGTGCCCAGCCCCGTGCTAGCAAGATACCGCCACTAGTTAGTGAGCACCAGCGGGTCATAGTCTTGCAGCACCCTCCGGGGCTCGTGCTGCCCTGTCAGCCAATGCAACGACTCAGCAAGCCGTGGCCCGTGCCGCCACAATGTGGTGCCACCTTGGCACACATCCCGGCAAAAGCTCAGCTGCTCCGGCACGTGCCGATAGTCCAAGATGGGGGGAAAGAACTGGTGAAAGTTGATTCCTGGGAAATGGCTTGGGGGTTACCCTGGGAGCCCGAGCAGTTCATGCGGAAAGCGGCCGAATCATGTCACCCAAGGTCGATGGGCTCTGTGCTCCCGGCCCCCTTGAATGATACTCTTGAATCCTTGGACAAGTTGGGAGACGCCGAAGTCTCCGCTTTGAGGGCTAGGGTAATCAAAGAGTGGTTGCACTTGGCGACTTCGTTGTCATCCAATGAAGCGGAGCTGAAGGCCAGCATGCACCCTGATGTTCGTGAGATTACAGCATCCAAACGCATCCTTTTGTGGGAAGCTTTGCTTAAGAAATATGATTACCCAGACCTGTGTGTGTCGAGCCTTCTCAAGGAAGGCGTCCCGTTGGTGGGGCATGCGCCCATTTCGGGAGTCTTTAAACCCAAGTTCAAGCCCATGCAAGCCACGCCTAAGCAGGTAAGGGAGGACTCAAAAGTTTTTCGGGAAAAGGTTAAAAATTCCCTTAAGACCCAGGACCCCGCCTTGGCAGCCGAAGTTTGCACCAAGACTGAGAAGGAGCTAGAAGCAGGATGGATCGTTGGTCCCATGTGCGAGTCCAGCTTGTGCGATGGGATCTTGGTTAGCCGTCGGTTTGGAATCCAGCAAGGTCAGAAGGTCAGGTGCATTGACAATTTGACTTCGTCGGGGGTGAACCTCGCAGTGCAGGCATATGAGGCTCCGCAACCTCAATCTACTGATGTGGTTGCATCCACGTGTCTTCGACTGCTGAAATCCATCAAAAAGAGGGCAGGCAAAGTCTTGTTCAAAATCTTAGGCAAGGCGTTCGATCTTACTGCAGCTTACCGGCAGATGCCAGTCCACCCAGACACGGATTGGGCAGCGTACATCTGCTTCGTGCATCCAGACACGAATGAGCGGGTATACTTTAGGATGAAAGCCATGCCCTTCGGATCGTCAATGGCAGTCTACGCTTTCCTTAGGATTAGTCATTCCTTGTGGTTCCTCGGTGCAAAGGCATTGCTCTTGCCTTGGTCGTCGTTCTTCGACGATTTCGTCACTTTTGCGACGACAGGGTGCTCTGCGTCGGCAGAGGCGTCAGTGACGGCGATGTTCAAACTCCTAGGTTGGGCGTTCGCCGAGTCCGGTGAAAAATCGAATGACTTTGCTGAGTGTTTCCAGGCGCTTGGTATCATGGTTGATTTGCGTGCATGCCTTGATGGCACCATAAGCTTCAAGAACACTGCAAAGCGGGTTTCCGAGATCAAGGCGTTTGTGGGCAAAGTGCTTGAGTCAGGTAGGTTGCCGCATCACGAGGCACTCAGGCTCAGAGGCAGGTGCCAGTTCGCCGACTCGCAAATCTTCGGCCGTACTGGAAAGAAGTGTTTGGGGTTGGTCACCGCGCATGCTTACGGCTTTGACGAGGTCATCAGTCGTGAACTCAGGACCTCTCTCGAGAGGTTCTTGCTTCGTCTCGAGGACGGGGCCCCGCGTCTGATCAAGATCCTTGAGGGAGGATCGTGGCATGTGTACACAGATGCTTCGTATGAACCAGGGGCAGGAAATAGCTTCTGCGGCCTAGGTGGGGTTTTAGTGGATCCTAATGGGTTACCTCGAAAATTCTTTTCCTTCGTTTTGAGCGAAGCACAGAAAAATTTTCTTGGGGAGCAGAATTCTGCCCAGATCATATTCCAGGCGGAGATGCTAGCAATGGCTGTGGCGCTAGACGTTTGGTTGGAGGACTTGACGGGGCACACGGCAATCTTCTTTGTGGATAATAACGGTGTGCGTGATGCAGCTATCTCTGCAAATGCCCGAGCATCAGTCGCTAGGAGACTTCTTGAGTCGTTTCTTCAGAAAGAGCATAGCTCAGCGATCATTCCTTGGTTCGCCAGGGTACCATCCCCTTCGAACCCGGCGGACGAACCGTCCCGGGTGGAGTGCGACAGCTTGAACTTGTTGGGGGTGCAACTCCTCAGGTCGAATGTCTCTCGGAGAGTGGACAGCTGCTTGAAGGACGTTCAGGGTCTTAAGTAATAGGACTAAGTTGGGGGTGAATGCTAGCAGGGCCCCTCGCTGAGGGCTGCAACTCCCTGCTGTAGTTAGGTATAGTCTTGTGCCAAAGGGCATGCACCGCAGATACGAAGATGTGCCGACCGGCACTCTCAGATCACTTACTCCCAATGTCACCGAAGGAAAAAGTCCGACGTTCATCAGTGCTTCAGTGTGCCGTTTCGCTTAACCTTGCAGCTCAGTTCGGTGTTCCTAAACCTTTCAGCTTACTGTGCGACTAAAGTTTTGCGACCTTTAACTTTTGCAGCTGTTTGGTCCAAGTCGTTCGGCTCAAGAGAACCACACAGTCTCGCTCCGAGATAGTGGGTTCTCTTGAGCCCGGACGAAGGCCCTCGCGTGGGCCGCCTTGGACCATTCTTGAAAAATGACGTGCTTTACAATTTTGCATTTTCTTCGTGTGCCCTTTTCTTGATTTCACTGAGCGACATGCATTTCCTTCCGTCTGCAGTGCGCGAGTCACTCTCTTGATGATTGCAGTGCGAATGCTCAAACTGAGCAAAAATTTTGTCCCGCCCACCCGCCCGGGGTGAATGCTAGCAGGGCCCCTCGCTGAGGGCTGCAACTCCCTGCTGTAGTTAGGTATAGTCTTGTGCCAAAGGGCATGCACCGCAGATACGAAGATGTGCCGACCGGCACTCTCAGATCACTTACTCCCAATGTCACCGAAGGAAAAAGTCCGACGTTCATCAGTGCTTCAGTGTGCCGTTTCGCTTAACCTTGCAGCTCAGTTCGGTGTTCCTAAACCTTTCAGCTTACTGTGCGACTAAAGTTTTGCGACCTTTAACTTTTGCAGCTGTTTGGTCCAAGTCGTTCGGCTCAAGAGAAATATATATATATATATACATATATATATATATATATCTATATATATGTATACAGCCCACGGGCAGAATGCAGCTTTCGCAAGACAGCGTCCACTGCTCCGCACAGGGAGGCTACATATCTCATGTATAGCCCACGCTCGTAGTGCAGCTTTCGCAAGACAGCGTCCACTGCTCCGCACGAGGACAAGACTGCACGACCTTTAGTCAACTCTACTCCTACGTGCGTCTCTGTCGCTGAAATACAATCATGAGTTCGAGTTCCGTCTTCAGCATCTCCTTCATGAGATCCGTCGCGTGGATGGTGTTCACGGAAACGATCTTATCCCCTTTCTGCACCCGCCGCAAACGACACGACGACGAGGAAGGCATCGACTCCATGAGTGCATTGTGCGTGTCAACAAGCCCATCTGGCACGACTTCAAACACCTCCATGGTGCGAGTGACGAATTTCAGTCCGATCTTACTCTCTCTGCTGTCACGATGAAGCATCACCATAAATTCTTTCTTATCGGTCCGCCATCCACCAGGCGGGGGTGGAGGCGCAGGACGACGACCGCCTCCTTGATCGGCACCACGATTGCACAAGGCAGCCACACGCTCTCTGACGATTTCATTGCCAGGACACGGCTGCCGCCACATCGTGTAATGCACGTCAAGGCGGTGATTGGATCCGCGCAAGCAGCCCCACCATTCAGGCCAAACGCTGCAGAAGTGTGCACAGGTGTAGCTAGCGGCAGCAACATAAAACTGCTCGGACTCGACAACGCACTGACCACACCAAGCAAATCAACATGCTATTCTCCTCGAGACTCACAAGTAGAATACTTGACAGGATATCTAGACACAGAAAGACAATTGCACATCGCCAGATAAGATCGGCAGCTGTGCCTTCTCCTCGCACCGAGGCAGCAACTTTTGGACCTCATGCAGAGAACTGCACACATAGCACACGAAAACACGCATTTCGCTCGTGCGCAGACGCGTATGCTTTTTATCATGGCCACGCTAGCCGTGCGAAATAGGTTCCGCCGCGCCGCCGCACTTTCGCAAGACGGCGTCCATGCGGCGGCTTGCGGCAACCGGAGGCACACTCGGTCGTTAAAAGAACAGCACGCTAAGCCCCACCAGCAGCTCAGGCACTCTGCCAGTTTTCGGAAAGAGTATGTGCCGTCATCGGAGCGCAATTCGGCACGAAGTGGCATGTGGAGACGATACCACTGGGTCCGCTCGGGCGTCTTCTCCAACAGTTGCTTTTCCTTAGCGACACTTTATTTTCACCAAAACAAAAGCGCATGCTGTCGTGTCCCTGCAATTCACACGTTTTTGCAAGATACCACCAGCGTCAGGTAGCCGATCGCCGTGAAGGTCAGCTCATGCGCTCTCACGGAATGCGGGTCACCGCTAAGCGCCCACTCCCCTCCCTGCCAGGTCATACAGTCGCTCTCCGTGCAGCGCTGAATGGCCTCCGAACGACAGCAACTGAAACAATGCCTTAACACTTATCGCTGTGCTACATCACCGCCGAGGCGCTGAGACTGCGTCGGGACGCAATCCCCAGCGACCCCTGTGCGTACCCGCCACTTGCTCTCCGCGCAGGACTCGAGCCGACTGGTCGGCTGTCAGACCTACGAAAACACGCAGTTCCTGCATGGCGTGAATTGCCATGCTGTGCTTTCGCAAGACGGCGTCTGCACGGCCCACAAACAGATCAAGGCTGCTATTGTGCTGATGTCGAAACAGGCTGCGCGAGAGTGACATCACATGCAGGGCAGAGTATGATGCGACACATGCTGGCCTGAGACAGCCGAGGCTCTGAACAAATCCACATAAGGTCCCCGCGCGAATGCGCGGATGGCGGTTCCCGTGGAGTCCTTGCGCTTGCAAGACGACATGCATCCGAGTTTCTCGACGATGATTTCTGTTAAGAGCACAACACCGCACACAACCCGCAACTGGGTTCGTAACCTTCGGCCGCAACGCAGAAGATGCCTGATCGGATTCCGGGGTGTTCGAGGGGGAGGGGGGGGGGCCTTGAAGCCTTCAAATGTGGGGAGTAGCTGCTTTCCAATGCTACAGGAGAAGAAACTAAGGGTCGGGGAGGCAGCCTCTGCTGTTTTGGTTGTTGTAAACATTGCACACATACCAAAACAGATAACAACATAAACACTGCTGGCAAGACGACGGTGGCAACTTAAATTACCCTAAGTCAGACCTAAACCTGATATAAGCGAGCCGGCAGTCGACACATCCTGCCACGCCGCTGTGGCAGATTGCTGGCATGAGGCGGAGGAAGGTCCAGGCTAAAACCCAAACATCGGGCTGTTGGGGATTTTGGATGCCACCGTGTCTAGAGCCAGCCGCAAAAGAAATACGGCTAGAGCAACCATGCACAGCTCAGTCAGTAGGGCTTAGACGAGGTGTTATCTAAGGTCTAGCTGGGGGCACGAATTGCGCATGCACGATGTGCTCTCTTTCCCTCCACGATGTTTGACAGCTTTGTAAAGCTCGCAATGCCAGAAGTCGTCGATTATTCCGAGACCGAATGCCACGCCTGTCTCGTAACGTTTTCTGGAAGCTGTTCACACTGGACCAGATGTCAGGAGCGCCCACTGGAGGCAGGTGCAATTCGCAAGACCGCGTCCTCCGCGGGCACCCTGCGCTGCCGATGCCGCCTGCCGGGGCTGGCCTAGGCAGAGCCTAGAGAGCGGGCACCACCAAACGCTTAGGATATCACACTCACGAAGACAAGCACTTCCACACTCAATTGAAGCGACGTCTCTACGAGAGCTGCAACGCCATAAGCCAATCCAACTCACGGCCAGATTTCGGACACGCTGAAAAACAGCGAACCACCGAAGACTGTTTCCTTCAGCCGGACCAATTGGACGGTGATTCGACCACGCTTAGTCTCTGCCGGCAAGCACCAAGCCCAACCACCCCAAGGCCCTGTAAAGCACCCTGCGAAATTCACCCATGCACCAAATCTCTAAACCCAAAGCCCCGAACGAAATGCCAAAGCATACCGCACGGCATTTGGCCCGAATACCACAATGCCCGAATCCCCCCAGCCCTAAAGCACCAAGGTACCGATCATACAAGCCACAAAGCAACCAACCATACTTACCGAACCCCGAGCAGCTGAATTCATAAGCCCAGACGAAGACAACCCCCGCAGCACCCAGCCCCAATGCCTCTGATGGAGCCTGGTCCAAGTCCTAGACCCCCGCTGCCCGAACCCCCGGCCTTTCGACTCGAAGCTTCGATTCAAGAACAAAAAGACCTCTGGAATGCTCGCAAACAGTCGTGGCAGGAGGAGGGGAAGGTCAGATCGCTCGGCAACAAGACTTGCACTGGCTTGATACAACTCAACACTTGTTCTGCGGTCGATCTAAGCGCATCTCGACTGGCTTCCCAGTGCACGGGGAAAGTCGACGCCGACGGCTCCTCAACCCTTCGTCGGCGCCACTCAGCCAGTCGTATTACGACTTGCTGAGCGGCGCCGACGAAGGGTTGAGGACACCTGTCGATAGTTCTCCTCGACCGGCAACACTTCCTGACCAGGTGTCGCCAGGGGCAAGCAGTAGTCAAAGGAGCAGGGGAATGCCTCTGATGGAGCCTGGTCTAAGTCCTAAACCCCCCCTGCCCGAACCCCCGGCCTATCGATTCGAAGCTTCGATTGAAGGGCAAAACGACCTGTGGGGTGCTGGCAAGGGCAAGCAGTAGTAAAAGGAACAGGGGAGGGGGGGGGGGAGACTGGCAGCTGAGTTTTCCGGAATCCCAAGGCTGCGCCTGGAATTGCCTTCGACTCCGTCAGGCCGCCGAAAAGCTCCTTTTGCCAGAGCATCGCTGTGCCCATGTTCACCACCGGCTGTGCGTCGCCGAATTTTCGCGTCGGTGAAACGAAGCCAACAGCCCTGCGCCGCGCTGCCGAACTTTCGCAAGACAGCGTCCATTCGACGGCCGGCAGCAGCGCCGCCGAACTTTCGCAAGACGGCGTCCATTCGGCGGCATGCAATGAGCACAATTACTGTTGTTTGCAACCAGGACTCGAAGGATATAGCCTTCCCTCTTCATGTTCCCGGGGCCTCCTGCCAATGTTCGAATGCCTGCTCTTCTCTAAATCCGCCCCCTCGTCTTTAGCACTCACAGAACCAAGCGAATGCAAGCCTATCTCAGCCGCCCCACCTTGCATTTCCTCCTCTTCAGGCAGCGGAAAACGTTTCGAGTCCGCGTCCTTGTAGTTGGCATGAGTCACTCTTTGACGTTCAGGCAGTTCAAGCGGATCGAAGACCAAATTCCGGAATATGCCCTGTTGCTCTCGAGACATGACAAAGACAGGCTGCTCGCCCTCGAACTCTGCACTGCTCCACTTGAAGGCTTCGTGATACTTCGCATGAAGTTCCGCATGAAATTCCTGAATGGGCTGCTCCCAAAATCTCAGGTTTTTAGCGTGGCGAACTTTGAAATCATCAGACGACTTGGCCTTGCTCGCATCACCGGCAGAAATTGTCTTACCTGTCAGCCCGGAAGAGGATGCCTTCTCCGGCTGCCCGGCGAGACCTGCCAAGCGGGCGAGCAGCTCAACGAGTCCGGCCATGTCCATATCCAAGTTGAAGTGGCTCTGCACCCTGAGCGTCGGCCGTTTGGAAAACTCGTCCACCATGACTTTTGCCGTTGGGGGACAGGACGGTTTCAGCCTTATAGGCGGACGGGTCTCATCCGTCTCAGAGGCTCCACGGCTTGACGCCATTTGATTTGCAGACTTGTTCAAGGATTTCTCCGCCGCTGCCGTCTTGGATAGCAGCTCCAGCAATGCAGGAATCTCGATTTTCAAGACCATGCTAAAGCAGGCCGAGAGTGTCGGTTGCCCCGTGCGCGCATCCGATTCCGCCGTGAAAGAAGTGACAGACTCATCGATCAGAAAACTCAAAGGAAGCGACATGGCCCGATTCGACTGACTGTGCACAGAATCGCTACCCGCGGGATTAAGTGGAGAAGCTGGTGAAACCCCAAGAGAATGCTGGAGACTCTACGCAGACACTCTCTCTCTCTCTCTCTCTCTCTCTCTCTCTCTCTCTCTCTCTCTGTAACTTCGACATGCCACGGCCCAGGCCTCCACAGTCGAGCTAGTGGTCGAGATCGCTGGTCTCAGTTCCCGCGCCTGGGCAACAAGGTACTTGCCCTGCGACAGTCATGCACACTTCTAGTATCTCGCGCCGGCGACCGGAATGCAACTCATTCAAATCTCAATCAAGCAACGTCGCACCGCAATAGGAGAGTGAGAGAGGAACCTGAGACAATGTACTGCATTCCTGATCCAAGCTACTGCTTCGCATTTTCACCACAATTCTGTGCGTCGCCGAACTTTCGCATGAGTGAAAAGAAAACTCCGGCTCTGCCCCGACGAACTTTCGCAAGACAGCGTCCATTCGACGGCCGGCCGCGCGTCACCGAACTTTCGCAAGACAGCGTCCATTCGGCGGCTGTACCCGCGCTCAGCCGTTAGTCCACGAAATCGTACTCGTCGTGGTTGCTCCTGCCCCTGGAGGTGGTCGGATCATACTTGTATCTCTTGCACTCTGCTTCTCGAGCTTGCACTGGTGCCTCTCGAGACTTCGAGGTCCATCGCGACCAGGAATCCCTTGAATGCCAGGACGCACCTGATGGGTCGCTCCACTTTCGTCCCCGCTGTCCCACTTTTCTGAGGAATCATCGCTGCTGATCTCCACAACCTCCAACTCCTTCGAGGCGGCCGCATCCCGGTGTCCGGCAGCACATGACTTCACTCGAGCGGGTGCATCCTTTGGATCATTCCATGACCACCAAGACGAATCTTGCCATGTCGAGTCCTCCCAGCCATTGTTTCCATCGGCTGACCACGACGAATCTTGCCATGTCCACTTCTGCCAGCCATCGTTTTCTTGGGAAGTCAGCACGGTGGAGGCCTTTCCCTTAAACTCTTCAGAAGTGGACCAAGTGGGTGTCACCACGTCCTTGCGTTTCTCCCCATGGCACCAGGTGACTGTTGCGTCCTTGTCCTTCTCAGCGTACCAGGATCGGTCGGAGAACGATCCGTAGCCCTCACGACGACTTTCGTACCACGACCACGAGCTCGACATGCACGGGTCCATGGCGACTCACACTCGTTTGCACTCGAGTCAGAACACCTGCACGGGAACTTTGACACCCTCTGCCCGCTGCCCCTTCCACACACACTATAGCATCGATCTCGCTGATAAGGCCCTTGCGACAACACAGGACGTGGATGCGACTTTCTGCAACGTACCTCAATCCAACGACGCAACCCTGTAAGCTATATTCGAACACAGCGACATGTTTTTTCGCTCATGTGCTAAAACAAATGCATTTTATCAGTGCCGCAGCAAGCGCAGCCAGTCCTGCGAGGAATCAGCGCGTCGGCCACGAGGTGACCGCAGCCCCGCACTTTCGCAAGACAGCGTCCATGCGGTTCCGCAGCACCTAACTCTCGCAAGACTACCTCCGTTGCCCGGCTAGCGAGCCAAGACAACCGTGCTCATTTATGGATCGCGCGGCCTTTGCATAATCCGAACCTGTTCCACCCAGCGCTTCCATGCGGCTAGGCCCAAACGACGCCGAGCTTCGTCCAACGTATCGAGCCAGGAGAACTTTGCCAGACCGCGCAGATAGGCGCCCTGTCTCCCCCCCCAGCTGTCGTTGAGTGAGCTCTGGGTGATTCTCGGCAACCTCATGTCGCCACAAGCGAACCAGAGCAGCTTTCGCTGCACACAGGACACCGTCCCCAATTTCCATGTCCTCCAAGTCACTTGCACCGGACTTCTCATCCTCCGGCGTTTCTTCTTCGTTTTCCCACACCCATCTGGGCTGAGCCGCAACCACTTTTTGCCACGCCCTCAGATATTGTCCCCGGAGAACTCCTCGACCCAAGTCAGCGATCTCTGCCGCACCCAGCCCGGTCGTCTCATCCTCACGTTGCCTCTTCTCCAGACTTACCAATCTGTCCACGAGCTCTCGTTTGGCTCGTTCTCTTGGCGTCCTGGCAACGTCGTTCACATGTGCCATGGCATGAGGCACTCAGGAGCACACTCCACCGAGAACCCAGCCAGAAGACACACCGCTCCACGAAACAATGGAAAGTGGAAAGTTACCAAGTACTGCACGCTTGAGCCTTCGGGCTTCAGCGTCATCATGGTCATCGGCACAACAAAACGAGGCGTTTACCGTGCAATAGATCTGCAGTTGGCAATTTCCTGGTTGCCCCGCCCCCCCCCCCACCCCCGCACACACACACACACGCACGCATCATTCCTCATACCGGCCTACGGCGCTTGGACGCCATCGGTCAGGGTGTGTCATCGCCGACTCAGCACACACTGGCATCACAAAACATAGACAATCGACCGCAGGAAGCACAGCTGAGGCTGCCACATGCAACTTCGACGGCACACTCTGTTTCCAACTCTCTCTGATGTCTGCAAGCATCCCTGACCCTTAGTTTCTTCTCCCCTAACATCTGGACTGCAGCTACTTCCCACACGTGAAGCTCGCTCTGATTTAGGGTAAGTGCAGTTGCCACCCTCTCTCTCTCTCTCTCTCTCTCTCTCTCTCTCTCTCTCTCTCTCTCTCTCTCTCTCTCTCTCTCTCTCTCTCTCTCTCTCTCTCTCTCTCTCTCTCTCTCTCTCTCTCTCTCTCTCTCTCTCTCTCTCTCTCTCTCTCTCTCTCTCTCTCTCTCTCTCTCTCTCTCTCTCTCTCTCTCTCTCTCTCTCTCTCTCTCTCTCTCTCTCTCTCTCTCTCTCTCTCTCTCTCTCTCTCTCTCTCTCTCTCTCTCTACTACTACTACTACTACTACTACTACTACTACTACTACTACTACTACTACTACTACTACTACTACTACTACTAGTACTAGTACTACTACTACTTACTCCTACTATTACTACTACTACTGCTACTACTACTACTACTACTGCTACTACTGCTACTACTACTACTACTACTGTAGTAGCGCCACTCGTAGTGCTACTACGGGGTTTCGGGTCTAGGGCTTCGAGCTCAGATCACGGACAGGGGGGGTGGGAGGGGCAGTGCGAAGGGATTGTCCCTCCGCCCCCCTCCCCAAACCCCCCCTCATTGGAGGAGCGTCCTTCCAGCACGTGCTAAACGTATTTAAGTGGCTATCCGGCTCTATGTTGTTATCCGGCTCTATATGGGAACACAAAGTGTTCTGGAGTCTGAGCATGAAATGTGTTTGACTCTTGGCGTGAAATGATTGCGAAGCTGAACGGCAAAAAAAACGTGATTGCGTAATTTTTGCAGGTGCATGCACCTGCAAAAAATGACGCAATCACGCATCTATGTGTATACATATATATATATATATATATAATGAATATATATGTAAATAAATATATGTATATATATATATATGTATATATCTATATACATATATACATATATCTCATTTCTTCTGCTCTCTTTCTCTTCCACTCTGCAATTTTGCAGTTCCAGCTTGTCGATCAGTGCTGTCATTGTCCATTCGCTGCGTCCGAAAGCAGCTGTGCGGCCCATGAACTTACCTACTCGCAAGGCTGCAAAGGCCATCTTGGTGGCCCGCGAGTTGTACAGGAGCGTAGATCTTGCTCTTCTCGAGGCCTCAGGAAACCTAGCTCCCGCAAGATCCTTGAGGTTTAAGAAGGTTCGGCGGTTTCTGAGTTGGACAAGCAAGTTTTGCGCGCGTCGGTTCTACACGTTGGGCACGTTGACACTAGCTGTGCGACTATTGGTCACAAAGCACGGCGTTGTTCCTCCGCTGGCTGGTAATTTCGACATCAATTCGTGGGTGACGGACCAGTCCAAAGTATTGCATAAGCTTATCCGAAGATCTGTTAAGAACAGTTGGGAGCGCGCGAACCGTGCTGCCATGGCCTTGAATCCGGATGAGCTGGAGACGCAAGTTCAGGTCGGTAAAACTTAATCTCAACGGTGTGTATCTTTGATGCTGCCATGTGCAGGCTTGGGGTGCGGATGAGCTGGAGATGCCAGTTCAGGTCGGTAAAGCTTAATCTCAAGACTGTGTATGCTTCATGCTGCCATGTGCAGGATTGGGGTGCTCCCGTTGAAGCGCCACCACTTCGACGCCTGGGGGAGAACTGGCTTCAATCATTTTTGATGTGTGGCATGTTCATGGTGCTTGAATCAGCTGATAAAGGCTGTCAAGATGGAAGTGACAGATGACCTGGACGGAGAGGCCGTCAATTGTTGCGCCCGCCTAGGAAGTTTACATGCGTAGAAAATGATGATCAGGAGTGGGATCCAACTCAAGATCAAGGAGACGACGGCGAGGCTATAGGGTGTTTACTCAAATTCAGTACATGTGCCTCTTCGTGTGCAAATCTTTACACATGTTGTGCGTAAAGCTGCCTTTGTGCTCTAGCATTCTGCGGGTTAGGGTTTCGGATTTTAAGGCTTAGGGTTGTGGGGCTTTAGCAGTTTAGGGTTCCAGGTTTCGGGTTTTGGGGTTTAAGGTTTATATAGAGTCTAGGGAGAGAGAGAGAGAGAAACAAAATTCCAGGATGAAGCTGATGATGCAAAGCCGCCCATGTGGCCTGAAGATGAGGCTACGGTTACTTCCTCAGAGTCAGTGTTGAGTTCCAGTGCCACATGTCGACATGATTCTAAATTCTAAGGATGAAGATAGTGTTGAGGGTGGAGAAGAGGAGTGGGCCTCCTCCTCAGTGAGTCGTTTCGCTTCATGAAGCCCTTTGTAACACTATGCACATGTATGTAAGGGTGAAGATGACACGGTTGAAGAGGCCGGATTCACCAATCATGCTTCAGCTGTTTCTTGCATTGCGTGTGCAGGAGCCCACTGATCCCACAGCAGCTGAGCACTGGCCCGAGGAAGAGGCCGATACATTGCTTGGCCAACGAACGTTTGTTAACCCACCCATTTGGAGTGCGTGTACAGGAGCCCGCCACAGTAGCTCAGCACCGGCCCGAGGAGGAGACCCATGCATTGCTTAGCCAAAGAGCGTTTTACAACCCACCATTTGTGAGTGCGTGCGCAGGAGCCTGCCACTGAGCACTGGTTCGAGGAGGCCGGTGCATTGTTCAGCCAGCGAGCCTTTTCAATACCCCATTAGTGGTCAGGAGCCTACCACTGCAGCGGAGTACTGGTCCGAGGAGGCCGATGCAGTCTGTAGCCAGCAAACGTTTTGCAACACACACCATTTCTCGTCAGGAGCCCACTGCAGCACCGGATTGCTGGTCCGAGAAGGGTGGCACCGAGTATGAGGTTGGGTTTGAGTTTACTGGTGTGAAGCAAAGCTATAGAATGACATTGGCAGGGCGAAGATTGGTGTGGTTCTTCGTGGATCGGGGTCGAGGTCGTATACCCACCGACTCGTGTGCGCTTATCACTCGCTTTTCTGCCAGGACGCGGAAGACAAATGGACTGACACGAAGCACCAGGCTGGGTTTTACTTGAGACTTGAGTATGTGTCTGTATGTGGATATTCATATACATACATACATACAGACAGACACACATACATATTGCAAACGGGTCTATGTGAAGCCGGCAGGATGATGCAGATGGCAATGCCACTGGATGGGAGGCCGACGACTCTTTCGAGCAACAAAGATCCAGTGTAGGAGAGAGGTAGAAGTAGAGATCGAGGTAGAGATAGAGAGAGAGATAGAGAGAGGGAAGAGAGGGATCGCAGAGAGGGGGAGACCGAATTCAAGGAGGTCCCAACTGCATTGCAATGAACATGTCGTGCTAGGCTGCAGCAGCCGATTTTTGGGAGGACGAGGAGGAGGGGGAAGAGGCGTGGAGCAAGGCCTGGTTGCAAGCTGCGAAGAGAAAGAGAGATAGAGAGAGAGAGAGAGAGAGAGAGAGAGAGAGAGAGAGAGAGAGAGAGAGAGAGAGAGAGAGAGAGAGAGAGAGAGAGAGAGAGGGGGAGCGGGCTGTACAAGCCCGACTTAGCTGGCACCCCGCAGGATCCGGATTTGGCGGCTGAAGCAGCCGAGTTTTGCAACGAGGATGAGCACGAGGCTAGTTTTGAACTGTGAGCAAGAGGGGAACCAGCCCAACTTCGCTGGCACCCCGCAGGCAGCCGATTGGCGCGAGAATGACAAGGGCAAGGCCGGGCTGGCTTTGCACGGCCTGAAGCTAGTTACGAGCTGTGAATGAGGGCAAGCATTCAGCAGGCTGCTGATGATGTTGCGTCCGATGCGACGACCAGGGTCCTGGGAGATCATAAGGTCGGGAGCGGTCCTCGTGCAGTGCTGCAGTGCTTTGGAGACTGGGCGATTCGTACTTTTGCGCAGGACGACGAGCGGTTTGGTGCTGATGAGGATGGCGCCGATGCAGCTCGATGAGAATACTCGCTCTGCGTGGTTGTGCGTGTGTGTTGCGCGGTTGGTTTGTGTGTGTGTGTGGTGCTTGCGGTTGCTTGCTTGGTTGTGCTGCGGTGTTCAGGACCCAACTGCCGGCGATCGACCTTTCGTCGGTGGAAACCGCACGGTGGAGGTCCCTGTTTCTCGGCTTCGGATTTGTTTGCAGTTTGTGGTTCTTACTGGTCTGCCCTGTCTGATCAGGACCCATGGATCGAGAAGGAGTCGGAGAAGGCTTTAGGACCCAGCTTGGAAGCAGAGGCGAGGTCCATGTGTGCCGTGGGAAAACACCAAGCATTGAATCCGACATCGCAAAGACTCCTAGCAGCATCAAAACTTGCCTTGAGCAAGGAAGACAAAGGCAAGCCCAAAAAAAGCACACCGAAAGCGAAAGCAAAGGGCAAAGCAAAGGCCAAGACGAAAGCTGCAGCAGCAACAAAGAAGAAGACAAAGGGCAAGGTGGCTTCAACTGCTCACCCGGACAGCGTTACCTACATGACTGCGAAGAAAAACTTTCTGGATAAGTATCTTGGCAGGATGTGACATGCATGGGATTGCATGGGTACCTTGTTTCCGAAACGCATTCGGTACTCGTCATATTCAGGCAGACCGACATGCCGCACAAAGACAAGGAGAAGGCATGGAAGGAGTCCCAGGAGTACCAGGAGGTTATCGCCACTTTGGATCCCCGCCAGGTGACTTGGCATAGAGGTTGAGGCAGCTTTGGGTATTGATTGTGGTGGCCGATGAACTGAGCAACTTAGGTCAAGAAGCGCAAGTACTAGATGTATCAGGAGATGCTACCGCAGGGATTTTGATCCGATGCTAGCAACAAGGATGCTGCCTTTGTTAAAAGAGCGTGGGTGAGAATGCAGCGCAGACCATCTTTTAGCAGAAGTGTTGTGTCCAGACTTGTTGTGTTGCTCAGTGTTGTTGGGGCTTACGGCTCAGATCAGAATCATGGTACCGTTTTGATAAGCCGAGATTAATATGGCTGGTACAGAAACTTGAAGCACAAACTGCTCTCTAAATCAAGGCAGCAACCAGAAGAACACAATATAGCGCGGCACAATGTAGCGCACCACCATGACACTGCTTGCACGGCACAGCACGGCACATCAGCGCGGCAATGGCAGAAAAAGAAGAAGAAGAAGAAGAAGCCAGAACGGAAGTCGAGGAGCGGCAAATCCGGCAAATCGAACTGGCCGACAAGAGCGACAACAACTCCAACCGAAGCGAATGCTTCTGGTGCCGATAAGCCGGCGCCGAAAAAAAAACAAGAATAGCAAAGAATGCACTTGATGGTGACAAACCGGAGATGAAGACGATATGGACGCAAACACCCGTGTGGGCCCGTGAACTTACTCCGTGCAATGACGACGACGTCAATGTCTATGCCTTGGAGACCTTTTCTACTGAGAGAGAGGGCTGGGGACATTATTACAAGATGGTGGACATGGACAAAGACATGGTCTGCGATGATGGCCGAGGGCTCAAACTGGTGTGAGTGCACACTTCTGGGCTCACAGTTTCATTGCTTGCCACCTTAGGGTTCAGACTTGTTTGCGGTCGCGAATGGAAGCGGCTCAGGAGTGTCCTTGAGGACGGTCATGCAGGGGAGGTATCTTGTTTTGCTGATAAATCATTTTTGTCTTATGCAGGAGATCGACGACGACGACCTCTAGTGACTGTCGTGCACTCGAATCCCGAGAAACACTGCAAGCAATGTGCACGCACATGCTTAGATCTGTGTGGTGTGTACAGCTACAGAACACCATCTTCGCTGTTCTCAAGTGCTAAGATTCACACGGACGATGCTTTTTTTGAGACACGCTCAGTGGCTTCAACTTGGGCCTCCAGCCGTTTGTGTGCTACAAACAGGTCCAAACTCCGAGTCGGGATTTCACAAACATCGACGAGCCATAAGACATAAGTTCACTCAGGCTGCCCAGGTACCCTGCCCAAAACCTAGATTACCTCGTTGCTGCGACGGCGCATCTTTAGATGTGCAATGAAATTTTCCAACTTGGCGCTGGTGCTCACCTCTCTGCTGGCCAGCCGGTCTCTCAGCTTTTGCTGTCCTAAAAGCGGTCTGTCACATGCCATATAACCTCTTTGTGTGACCATGCATGAGCTCCTTGGGTTACTTGTTTGCATTGTCGCAACGAAAGAGATATGCATGCAGCTGTCCCACACTTCTGCCTCCGGCTTTTGCTCCTGCTCGCTTTCGATCTCTCTCTCTCTCTCTCTCTTTTCTCTCTCTCTCTCTCTCTCTCTCTCTCTCTCTCTCTCTCTCTCTCTCTCTCTCTCTCTCTCTCTCTCTCTCTCTCTCTCTCTCTCTCTCTCTCTCTCCGGTCCGATGCCAGAGGCTTCGGTGAGACGCCGCAGTGCGATGGTGTGGATGTCATCGAACTCTTTTCAGGCTTCTCGACATCCAACTATTGTATTCACACCATTGCATGCATCGGCTGCATAGAGGATCGCGGGTTCTGGCAGAAGGCTGCCAAATGTCGAGTCTCAGGGTCAAGGTGGCCGATGTGCCTCGTCTGACGAGCTGGGAAGCTACCCTGTTACGTTGGGTGATTCCATATGCATGGATTACAGATTTGACGAGGTGAAATATTCGAGGAAATTTGACCTATTGACCACGATTGGATTCCTGACGACGCTACAGCTGGCCGCCGTGCTGCATTAAAGGAGTCTGAAACATCTCAGCTTCTCAGAGCAACTGCAAGCTGAGCTACGCCGATTGGTCAGCAACGGAGTATGCTGGATGGGAGTGCCATGCTCAAGCTGGATCTGGATGCTATTGAGCTGCAAATAGCCGTACACATGTCCATTCTGATACCACTATCAAAACTTCTCTGCCTGCGCTTCTGATATTATAGGAGCCGAGCAACGACGAAGCGCAGCCGTTTGTCAACATCAGGACAGGCATCCAGCAACTCTGCTCGTTCGTTTTGACCACAGCAGCAAAGCCTTGGATCAGGATGCAGGCGCTACAAGAAGGTCAGAGATGCAAACCGCCTCGCTAGACGAGTCTGCTATTTGAACCTCAGACTCAAATTACCTTTCCATGTACTGCTGTGAGTGTGTACAAGTGTGTATGTGTCTATGTGTGTTTGTCGTGCTATCATGCACTTGCCTGGATGCAGGTGTGAGTATCTGTTCCAACGTGGTGTCTACTACGTGATCGAGAATCCAAGTTCATCGCTGGTATTTCGCTACAAGTCCGTCCTTGCAATTCGGCTGCAGTCATTCTCGTCTGCACGGAGCATTAAATGCTGGACTTCTGACAACTACTACAGCCTATAAGCCTCGTCGGTGTCAACCTATAGCTAATACCTCGGGTTTGCGGGCAGCTCTGTAGAGTCGTGGGTTCTGTTCTATCAACAGTTCTTGGTCTTGAGTTCGCATATATTGGGGGTGACCCGACAGAACATAGCATCCTTACGGACTTGCATGCCTTGAAGTCAAAAGGGTGGTGTGGAGCCTGGCTTTGCTGTTAGAGGGAATTATAAACGTTAGGGATCGTGCTTTCAATTGCTGAAATGGTAGGATTGAGATAGCTAACTTTCACTTCTAGTGGAAACACTGAGCTTATCATATGCGTCACTAGAACTATTGTACGAGCTTGCAAGGCGTCGGTGCATCGGGTGCTATTAACTACATATAGGAATTTGGGATAAGTGCTTGTAGAAACTAGGGGCTAGTATCTTACCCTCTCAGCTAGAGCAGCTGCATTCATAGTTTTGTTTTTCGGCAGTGGGTGGCCAACACCACCTTGTTTGTGTTTCTATAGTCGGCAATGTTTTCTCACAGACTACACATCGGATCGATGGCATTTGTTGGGTAGTATATTCTTTCGAGCAAACGTTAAGGCCATTAAGCTGTCGTTAACCGGACGTGGCCAACAAATGGGGATCTTGCTTCAAAGTATGTTGGGCCGCCGTACCCTGGTGATAACCCGGCGGAGAAGTCAAGTTTAACTACGGAGGCGGAAATGGCGTAACCATCAGAACCCTGAATCCTTAGAACCGAAAGAAAACCCTAAGATTTATAGTAAGCCGTCTCGCGCACGATGCCAGATTTGAGGCCTGGTTTGAGCTAACGTATTCCAAGTATCATCCACACGTACTGATCGTTGTCCAAAGCTCGCAGATAACCTTGGCTATGATTCGGTTATTATAGGGGGTCTGAAGTGCTGAGATCTCATTCGATAATTGGTTTCTTTACCTGGGCTCCGGCTTGGGATCTTGAGTGCAATGCTGCGGTTGCTCTTGCCGGTGCTGTTGTGGGGCAGTGTCTACCCAAGTTCAAATTGATGTTGCATATAGTAATATGTTTAATATGAAAGACTTGGTTGATCTCATGTGAAATTTGAGATCAAGCTCAGCCTGGTGGTTACCTGGCATCCAGAACGAGCATGCATTCTGATGCATGCGCGGCTCTGCAATCTGCACTACAGAAACTACATGCGACGACACATCTGCGTGCGTATAGGCAACTTTTACAGCATGGCGTTTGCATGAGCCCGCAAGGAATCGATCAGGGTTATCAGTAGAGAACAATTCACTTGTGGAACCTCAGCTGAGCGGCACACTTTCCAAATGTGAATGAGATGTGCGAAGCCAAGTGCAACCAGGCAAGCTTAGCGGCCAGGCTCGTGAAGGCACGCTGGTTTGAGGCATCCTCGTTCACCGCTAACCAACGCTTCTCAGCATCCGGTGACAACTGGCTAGAGCGGCATCATGACATTGCAGTCTCGAGCATGCCGACTTCTCACATCAATAGGACTGAGGTATCCTCGTCCACTGGCAGGAAATCCAGCCTGCAGGTCCAAGTTGAGGTATCCTTGCCTCAGCCTTTGGTACCCGTGTGCGAATGGTCCTCAGAAAATCTAGCCTTTGCGGAGCGGACACTGGGGAAATCACGGATGGGGGTAGGAAACAGAACTGGGTCCATCAGCAGGCCTTCCTATTCACAGCTGCCATCAACCGCTAATCAGGGAGTTCTTCGTCTGGAAACGCTGATGGCGGAAGCCACAGGGACTGAGGCATCCTCGTCCGCTGGCCTTCACCTCAGTGTGAACCAAGTGTGCCCATCAGTGACAGCTGTGCCATCGTTATCCTCACTAGAGTGTCAATGCGATCAGCTTCCACTGCGCATTCCCATGCAGCTAGAGTTGCATCTGTCCTGGGAAAAGTGTCTACGGCACTCTGATGTATGCTGCAGCTGCAATTGGGGAATTTTCAGCCGCCATCCCAACATTCGTGACAGCACTCTCGCTGAGGTGGATTGGTGCCAGTCCTGGATGCGGCCAGAACCTCACTACGCGAAGGCAACTAGTACTATGGACTCAGTTTGTTTGGAGATTCCGGTTGCCGGCAACTCATATGACCGAGTGGAGTGCACTCAGTTGAGGTATTCTCGAACTGTATTATTCGATTTGTTTCTCATAGGATGAAGTACATTCCAAACTCTTCTAACTGGGCTCATGTCTTGGTGAGACTAAACCCTGGCCAAGTCCTGCACTTACAGCCAATGAACATCCACATGAACAGTACGTCTCGCACCTCTGTCACACGCTGGCAGCAATACACCCATGAGGTTCTGCCCCTGGTTTTGATGGCTGATCCTCGAAACTACAGGGCGTCGCCACGGCCTGAGGAATCCTCGGCCTGGATCTGGCGTACAGTACTCGCAAAGGCCGCAG